ACTGTATGTAGTGTGTGTATGGTTGTCTTTCTCTAACCTCAGTGATTTTCCTGTGGTTTGAACTCTTGTGTGATCTTGTGGATTGTGTGAATCCAGGCAACTAACCACTCTTACTGTATCCTGTCATCTCAACAAGAACAAATTAAGTTTCTGGATTTCATGCAGATCCTACAGGATTTAATTACGTTCTCCACAGAAACATGAAATTATTTTGTTCACATTACAAGTTTGAACTTTGTAAATTTAACAACCACACAATTTTATTTTTATGGTTACATCAAGAGTAACATCATCAAACAGCGTTTAAGCTGCTGATGCTCTTCAGTATCACCACATTCAGCGTATCCTGACTAAATGCACAGAGGGCAGGAAACCTCAGACCTGCAGCAGGTCAGCTGATCACAGCTCCAGAGAGAAAACTAACATACTGGACCAACTGTGAGTAATCCCCCCACTGCACTGAATCTTCTCCCAGTTTGACTCCTAAGTGTGAGGAATGAAATACAATATTGTTTGGGAGAGTTTTTTGATCATACACATTAAATTTACCCGGGGAGGCCTTAAACCAGAGCAGGTGACCTGCCACCCATCAAACATAACATGACCCAAAAATGAAAGACTAAACCTAACTGACTTCAAAGAGCAGCAACATCCACCGTACACCATCTTTATGTGAACTCAACACTGTTTCTTTGCATTTTATTTATACAGCACATTTCATTACGCAGTGTTGAAGATAACATAGAAGAAAAACACATGTCGTTTTGTCTTAAGGGGATTTAAAGACGTTAAACACATCCAGAGTTACTGAGTGTAGACCTGTGAGGACAGACAGGGTTCAGTATGTTTTGGAATATATGTCATTTACAGGCCGTCAGCATCTAATCCTGGGAACAGCTGATGACCTGAGAGCTCTGACTAGGGCTGTTCGATATAACGATATATATCTGATGACGATATAAAAACATCTATCGTTTCATTTTACGCTATCGTTTGTTTCGTGGTGTCACAAAATAAACTGTTTACGTTAATATTTGTTCATGTTTTGATGTCACTGTAGTTATTATTAATTT